GCATCGAAGCACCATGCCCAGCCCGGCCACCATATTTTCTTTTGTTAAGTATCTGTAACAAATATTTTTTGCCCATTTAAAACATTGAGTGGTGGCCAGGCGCGGTGGCTCATGCCTGTAATCCCAGAACTTTGGGAGGCCAAGGTGGGTGGATCACGAGGTCAGGAGATCGAGACCATCCTGGCTTAACATGGGTGAAACTCCATCTTCTACTAAAAATACAAAAAATTAGCCAGGTGTGGTGGCAGGTGCCTGTAGTCCCAGCTACTCGGGAGGCTGAGGCAGGAGAATGGCATGAACCCAGGAGGCAGAGCTTGCAGTGAGCCGAGATTGCAACCACTGTACTCTAGCCTGGGCGACAGTGAGACTCTGTCTCAGGAAAAAAAAAAAAAAAAATATATATATATAAAATAATATAGTATTATGTATATATGTGGGCCGGGTGTGGTGGCTGATGCCTGCAATCCAGCACTTTGGGAGGCCAAGGCCGGGCAGATCACGAGGTCAAGAGATGGAGACCATCCTGGTTAACACGGTGAAACCCCGTCTCTACTAAAAATACAAAAATTAGCCCCGTGTGGTGGCGGCGCCTGTAGTCCCAGCTACTTGGGAGCTGAGGCAGGAGAATTGCTCCAACCCAGAAGGCGGAGAGTTGCAGTGAGCCTGAGACCGTAGCCACTGCACTCCAGCCTGGGTGACAGAGCAAGACTCCATCTCAAAAAAAAAAAAGAAAATATGTGAATGGCCAATAAGCACATGAAAAGAGCCTTAGTCATCAGAAAAATGGAAATTAAAACCACAATGAATACAATCAACACCATAGAATGGCTAAAAATTAAAAACACTGACAAAACAAGTTTTGGCAAGAATACTGTGCAACTGGAATTCTTTTTTTTTTTTTTTTTTTTTTTGAGACAAAGTCTGGCTCTCGTAGCCCAGGCTTGGAGTGCAGTGGCACGATCTCGGCTCACTGCAGCCTCCGCTCCAGGGTTCACCCATTCTCCTGCTTCAGCCAGTAGCTGGGACTACAGGCGCCGCCATCATGCCTGGCTATTTTTTTTGTTTTTTAGTAGAGACGGGATTTTCACCGTGTTCGCAGGATGGTCTCGATCTCCTGACCTTGTGATCCGCCCGCCTCGCTCCCAAAGTGCTGGAATTACAGGCGTGAGCCACCGCACCCGGCCACAACTGGAATTCTTATAAATTGCTGGTAGGAGTGTAAACTGGTACAACCACTTTGGACAGTGAATGTGGCAACCTCACATAAAGTTAAATATCTAAATTAGCATTCAAACTAGTAATTCCACTTCTAGGCATTTGCCAAAGCAGTGAAAGCACATGTTCACAAAAAAGACTTGTACACAAAACGCTTAAAGTAAGCTTTATTCCATAATGGTCCCAAATGGAAACAATTCACATGTTCATCAACAGGTGAACAGATAAAGCCAAATGGTAAACTTATTCATGCCAACCGAATACTACAGGTAATAAAAAGGCACAACGCAACGAATACATGCAACAATAGGATGAATCTCCAAAACACCGTGTTGGGAGAAAAAAGCAGATACAAAAGATTATAAACTGTAATGATTTCATTTATATCAAGTAAAATAATAGCCAAAAAAATCCATGGATCCAGAACAGTGATTACAATCCAGTAGGATTGACTGGAAAGGAGGCAGGAGTGAACTTTCTGGGATGATGAAAATGTTACTTATTTTGATTGGGTGGTGGTTATGTGGGGACATACATTTATAAAAACTTATCAAACTGTGGTCCCTTAAAATTAGTGAATTTTATTTAAAGAACAGCCTGGCTAACATGGTGAAACCCATCTCTACCCAAAAATACAAACAAAATAGCCAGGCGGTGGTGGCAGGTGCCTGTAATCCCCAGCTACTTGGGAGGCTGGGGGCCAGGAGAATCACTTTGAACCCGGGAGGCAGAAGTCCGCAGTGAGCCGGGATTGCCGCCACTGTACTCCAGCCCTGGGCGAGAGAGTGAGACCTCCATTCTCAAAAAAAAGAAAAAAATTGGTGAAAATTTTAACAGTATGGAGTCCATACCTAATAAAAAAGAATATTAAGAAAAAACAATTAGAAAGATGTTACAACTTGGATAGCATTTTGTTTCTGAGGAGAGGGAGAAGGATTTGGAAACATTGTTTAGGGAAGAGACTTTTTTACTGAATTTACTTTATACTGTCGGATTTTATACCAGGACACACATATTTTTGTTTTTTTGAAGGCAGGGTCTTCCTCTATCACCCAGGCTTGGAGTGTGGTAGTGGTGAATCCACCCTCACTGCAGCGTCCACCCTCCAAGCGCTCAAGTGATCTCTGCCTCAGCACTCTTGAGTTGCTGGACTAAGGCGTGTTTGCCACCCGACCCAACTTTTTTTTTTTTTTTTAATTTTTTTTTTGTAGGAACCACGTTGCCCAGTCTCAAACTCCGTGGTTCAAGAGATCCTCCTGCCTTTGGCTCCCAAAAAGTGCTGGGAATTACAGGCATGAGCCACTGCGCCCAGCCTAAAAATAGATTTTAAAAGAAAAAAGCTATTAAGAAAAACAAAAAAACAAGTCTGTGGATCTGAGGATGGATGTAACAGAGAACAGTCAGTACATCAAAAGCCATAGGATATTCAAAGCAAAGGAGGTCTCATACTCACAAGACAGAAATAATGCACGCTGATATTGTCTTTCTGAAGAAATTCCCCTAATTTTTCGGGATCCCCAGGTTCTTGAAGGCATAGCCAGCAAACTGGAAGAAAGGACACTCAGAATTTGGCTCAAGTTGACCATTAAGAATGGAAGGGAAGGGTGAGAATGTAATCATTCCTCTAAGTCAGGAAGGAGTAGAATACTAGGAAAAGGGTCACTTTGGCAAGAAGGCAGGTTGGGAGGAGGTCTTATTTGGTATCAATTAGGCTACTCACATAATTCCTGGTTACTAGGATGAACAAGTTGGCCAAACCTGCTTCCACTTCACTTTTTTTGCTTTGATTTATTCTACAGTGACCCTCTAATAACTTGTTCCTTGAACTTCAAACATGGTAATTATAAAATGACAGTTCCTGAGATCCTCAAGATCTTAGAGAATCTTGGAAAGAACTAAGGGCTGGAGATAAGAGAACGCCAGCAAGTGTACTCGCCCCACACAGGGTGGCCTCATTTGCTTGAGGGGCTGGAGCCCGGCTGAAACACAAGGCTTCCAAGTCTTCTCTAGCCAGGCCCTGAAGACGAGGTTTCCTCTGGTTACCTCCTAAGTCTTTGGCAGCATTTCCGTATACAAGAGAGAATAAGCAAGCACGAGGTGTCTTCTTGAGGAGCCTTGTTGATAACCTTTTTAAACATTTCCCTTTTTTTTTTTTTTCTTTTTTGACAGACGGAGTCTTTGCTGTGGTCGCCCAGGCTAGGAGTGCAGTGCCGGATCTCAGCCCTCACTCGCAAGCTCCGCCTGCCCAGGTTTACGCCATCTGCCTGGCCTCAAGGGCCTCCCGAAGTAGCTGGACTACAGGCGGCGCTGCCACCTCGCCCGCTAAAGTTTTCTGTAATTTTTAGTAGAGAGGCGGGTTTTCACCGCGTGTTAGCCCAGCGATGTCTCGGATCTGCCTGACCTCGTGATCCAGCCCCGTGCTTGGCCTCCCCAAACAGTGCTGGGATTACAGGCTTGAGGCGCCAGCCATGCGCCAGGCCACATTCTCCTTAAAAAATCGCCATTCAATTCTCAGCCTCCTGGGTCTGATGAAGGGACCAAAATGAATCTACAAGCCTAGACATCAGGCCGTTATTTTCCCTATTTCATCATATATATAACCCCTACTATAATATATAGAAGCTATATATATATAACCTATATATTTTTTTTTTTTTTTTTTTCTTGAGACCACCCCCCCGCATCCGGAGTCTGGCTCTGTTGGCCCAAGGCGGAGTGCAAGTAGCACCGATCTCCAGCTTACTGCAACCCGCGCGCCTGGTGTTCAACGCAACTTCTCCTTTGGCTCAGCCTCCCGAGGAGCTGGGATTACCAGGCACCTGCCACACACGCCCAAAA